ACAACGCGCTTTAATAAAGTTCCTTACCAAGGAGGGATGCAAAGCAAAAGAAATCCATATGCGAATTATGTGAATGTGGATTCGAACAGTTAAATCACCCACCCTACAGCCCAGACTTAGCCCCCAGTTGTTATTTCCTGTTCCGGCAAATGAAATCTGCCCTACGTGGAAGATGCTTCCAGGATGACGAGGACATAAAGGCTGCCATAGAGAGGGCCAATCTGCGGATTTCTATAAAAGTGGTATTAAAAGCTTGAAGGACAAATGGAATGAGTGTATTGAGGTGAATGGAGATTATATTGAAAAATAAAAGTGCAAAATATATTCTGCGACTTATTGAACACCCCTCGTATATATACTCTGCCAAAAAAGAGCAATGTGATTTTTGCTGTATATGTTATAATGTATAATCAACAGATGGAAATCGATTGTTCAATGTTGCACACATCATTCTCATTGACCCAGGTTCCATATGGCACACAGTAGATAGTAGATTTCAAGGTGAAGGTCATCTGTTCTCAATATCTTTTATTGCCACCATTACAGTCCCAAACTGACTGACATCGTAATCACACGGAAGCAATCAGATCCTGAATTGTGGCCTGAGGAATGTTCACCCAGCTCTTGTGCCAACTGTTGGAGGTTCTGTGGTTGTTGCTGACATGCTCGCAGTCGATCCAGTGCATCCCCTAAATGTTCGATTGGGTTTAAATCTGGAGACCTGGAGGGTTCATGACAGGACCTGGATGTTGTGAATCCTGTAAAAAGTAGTCAGTCTTGCCATGTGATGTCGGGGGTTGTCTTGTTGGAAAATGACGTTCGCTTGTTGCATAATGGGAAGGACGTGTAACGTTGTGCCGTAAAATTACCGAGAACTTGCACCAAGTCAGTTCTGACAGTCTAGGAGATGGCTGCCCACGTCATCAAACTATCACAACCAAGGCTGTCCATGTATGCAGTTTCGTGTATAACGTTCCCCGTGACGCCTGTAAACACGACGTCTACTATCCGCAAGGAGAAGCATAAAACGTGACTCATCACTGAATCAAACTTGTCTTTATCGCAGTTGTGGCCATGCCCTGTGACCTTGAACTTTTGACGTCGTAGCCGACGATACACGTCCGTCAAAATGACACCTCGAGCTGGTCTTCTAGCGCAAATACCTTCAGCGCGTAAACGGTTCCTCACTCCTCACTGTCTGGGCTGATATCCTACGAAAATCTGGTATTGCTAGCTGGTGTCAGTGACGTAGCCTTATGAATCTGTTCTGTGCTCTAGTAGTAATGAATGGTCGACCGGATCTGGAAAGGTCCCGTGTTGTCCCGTGTGTCTGATAACGGTTCCAGTCCAATGGTGTTTGGTGCTACGTAGAAAAAAAACCCTGGCTACATCTGAAGATGATTCTCCTGTTTGCACTCGGCTGGTGGCGTTGTTGCGTTTGGCTTCCGCCAGTCGTGGTGTTTTCGCTGTGCACTTGAAAACCCAACGTTGTTCTAGCCCAACAAGTGATGTTGCAATTGCAAGTCATGTGGTTGTGTATTTGCGATTTTTCCATCTTGTCACCAAATTTCTGCAGTACCTCATTCTTTCCAAACAATTCAATCCCAATCCATGCAGAAAGGACCAGTTCATGTTTGGTAGTAATTTTGTATGGATGTTGGCAACACCCTGTCAGATATTTGCGTTTCTTTTTCGAAGAGATTATTCGTTTTCAATTAAGGAGGTAGTTAATCAAAGTTATGAAAATCTATAAGGGTAATAAACACTGTTTTCTACATATACTTAGTGTCAGGGTTTCATGGAGATGCCCCCCTCCAACAACAACAACAACAAAACATAACAAACAACAACCCGAAATAAAAACCAAAAAAACCACAAAAGACAATACAAAAACAAAATCCAAACAATAAACAACATATTAACGAAAACAACAAAACAAAATTATAACAACATTTAAGAAACTAGACATAAACAAAACAAAAAGAAAGATATGTTAATGCCATTCCTTGCCCAGCCCCCAATATGGCATAGGTAGAAAGTATTTCGAGGCTGATATTCTGACCACACGTGACCATTGGTCGGGCACGTGGTACGTAACGTGCACAGGAGAAGGTTGCGCTCCTAATTTCCAACACAGAAATGAAATCATCCTACTCTAAATAAACACAGCATCTAAAACTGATTAGGTATCGAACATCCAATTAGGATTCTACTGTTTTTTTCACTCATTAAGTTCGTCACTGTTCACGTCCATGTTTGTAATGTGCTGGTAAAATAGTTCTTGATTGCGACCAAATATTTTAAAAACCAACAGGACCAAGAAAATTGCTACGATACACATGTTGCCTTGTTTCTTTACGTGATGGAATAACATCACTAACTAGTCATACCGAACATGCTTCATTTGGTATTCTTTAACTGTTATCGTATGTTATTTTTAAACTTTAATTATTATTATTAAGCTCTATAATGAGCTAGGGCGAACTGTAGTGAATGCGATGCATGTCCCGTCACAAAACGCAGCACGGGATGTGTTTACACTGAAAAGTTCACTTGCACGAGTTCCATTACTTGTATTGCTACCTTAGATCATCTTATATGAATAATAAAAACTGCTTATGTCACCGGAAATATCGACTATGAAATATATCGCAAGTAGATCGAATAGTAAGGAATTAAAACATCTCAGCAAGTTCCTTACGCTGAATACGCTACTCCGAAATACAGAGTAATAAAATAGTCGTCCAACCAGCCACAGCTGCGGGTGGTTCCTGAGAGGCTAACTTGAAGGGTTTCCGTTTTGTAAAGGGTCAAGTTGCGGAATTACTTCATGAAACCAATTAGCATCCGCCAGCACATGACACCACTCGTGTCTGTCCATAACATTCACGAAAAGGTTTTCCCGGAAAAAACACGATTTGTCACAAATGAAATAGTAACTTTCTGATGGGGTAAAATATATCGTCGTATATGAACATTTTGTATGTTGGATATTTCATATTGGCTATTTTGATATATTGACATATTTTACGTAAAATAATTCTAAAAAAATATTCTCGGACCAAAGTCTTTACAAATGTTTGTTTGATATGAAACCTTAGGAGATAGTTTTGTTCGAAATCGATATATATTTCTCCATTAACTTATTCAAGGCATACACTAGGGAAACATTTCCTGAACCGTGCATTTAAATGTAGCAGATAGAGGGAAAGTGAAGTCTCATTAAATTTCTTTAGTGGTGATGGCAACAAGTCGCTATTTGACCGGTGCAAGAATCAGTGCATTGCCCTTGATGAAGATCATGGCGGTCAGTAACAATCAGTCGAGAGAGATGGATATCGACGACATGGATTGTTATTCAGCCACGCCACGACTCAATTTGTCGTGACATAGCTGAAGTTAACTGCGGCGTTAAACAACACTCATTCACTCAACGTGAAGGTACATTCAGAATAACCAGGCAACCCATAGACGTTTTTCTGACCAAATTAATGGCTGAGATGTGAAAGATGTTTATAAATCTATACAAACAGAACGTAAACTGGCTGGTCCCTATTTTGTACACGAATGTCATCATTCGTCACCACTCGCCTCTTTTCGTAACCTGCAAGAAAACACGCCCCCCTATCAATGAATGTTATGTGCGAAAATACGACAAACCAATCAGAGTGCGCGTATGATTTCAAGTTCTTCGTCAAAAAATCCCTCAGAAATAATTTTTGATTTTACACATGTCTTGCATTTAAAAATGTTAAATGTGTTCAATCATACTGTATAATTCCGCATGTCGAGATGAGCTTTAAATTCCATCTGAAATATATATAATATATGGGGAAATATATGTGAACCACTACGCAACGAGTTGACAATTGTTTTAGGTATGCCCGTTTGCGCTAAGACGGAACCCGGTCGCAAAAATGGCCATGAAAGGGGCACGAGTCGCTATTCGGCTTGTCCCGGAATAACACGTTTTGGTCACGAATGGAATGTCATTTGATTGCCATGATCTTTCTCTTATTCTATGATGACTCTGCCACTGAACACTCCTTTCAGGGGTAGCAGTTTCGAGCAAATTGGCAGTCTCAACTGTGGACTTCAAATCCTTCAAAAGTTTTTCTGTTATATCTTATGGTGTATATGAATCCTATAGTTACACTGTACCAAACACATTCTGGACTAGTTTAGCTTTAACGTGTTTATGACTGTGTATAAATCCTAAACGGATCAAGGTTTTGCGTGGTTTATCTGAACACGTCCTGAACCTAAAACACTGAGATCTCACAGTATCCCAAAAATCTATTTGTTTTACTTCAAATATCTTTAAAATCTAAACATAATCTTAATCTAGATATGTTTAGAACTTAAATATGTTCACGATAAAGTAAGAACATACTTATCGGTTCAAATACACGAATTGCCTTGGATGAGGGAGTGGGCGAGTTTGGTTTAACGCTGTGAACGGTATGTCAGTTAAGAAGAGATTTCATAACACTGCGAATTCAATCAAGAAGTGCTAAACATTTTGAAGTCTGAAGATAATGATGTTGTCGGGTAATCAAACTCATAATTATATTAGATTTCCTTTTGGTTTGGTTTGTTGTTTTACGCCGCACTCTGGAGTCTGGACCAGACAATCCAGTGATTTACATCATGAACATCGATCCACGCAATTTGGATCGATGGCATGCATCAACCAAGTCAGCGAGCCTGACCACCCGATCCCGTTAGTCGCCTTTTACGACAAGCATAGGTTGCTTAAGACCTATTCTACCCCGGATCTTCACGGGTCTAATTATGTTAGAAACTATATTGAAGTACAAACATATTTACACATTAAATTTTGTAATTCTCTGAATATTAATTTTCAGTTTGTTTTAACAAATACCACAGGATGCACGAGCATTTTGACAGCCGACACACACACACTGTTGTATTACCACCAACGAAAACATGAAAATACCTCATACCATATTTGGCAGAACATTGTTATAAGTTCCTACCTTCATAGTAATCCGTTGGATGAGAAACATCATGTAGATTCTGAGGTAGGACGATGCCGGCGAGCAGGATGTCGCTGATGGCAAGGTTGCAGATGAAGAGGTTGGTGACGTTCCTCAATTTGGGGTTTTTAATCACCAACACTATAACCAAAATATTACTACACACAGAGAACAACAATACGACCCCTGTCACCACTATAAACACAATCTCCAGGTTTCCCAATGGCATTGGGATTTTTTTCACACGCTTCTCTGGCGCTACAAATCATCCATCTCTGTATGGCACTTATGAATGAAATGTGTCATTCTGTCAAACAGTTTGTTTCACCTCCATAACTCCCCTCAGTCGCCCTGCTGGTGAATTAGTCTTCAAACAGGGCTCCATGACTGGCGCCTCCCACACACAGTGAGAGCAAGTGACCGGTGAACACAGGTACTGAGAGTATCTGATAATCGATCCGTATGGGTTATTGTCACAGTGAGGACTGTACCGTATTGGAACAGGGAGAGGTTGTTAGTCAATGTCTTGGGCGAGACTACAGTATATTATCATGTATGATGAGTGAGTGAGTTGGTTCTAACGCCGCTTTGAAAAGTATTCCAGTTATATCACGGCGATAAATGTGTGTGTGTGTGTGGGGGGGGGCAAGTGATACCACTTTGGTGGAACCCATGGGTGTGGTGCTGACAAAACTAGAAACATAATCGGGGCGAAACGGATTCGAACCCACAATCAAAGGTTTCTGGCGTGCCCAAGGGACGCAACTCTGCACAGCGAATCGCGGCGTGGTGGATATGAACACGAGAATACTATGTGCAAAGGACACACGAGTATTTTAAACCACAGTTTGAATATGATTTTATTCTTAGTTTTAGAGTTGATAAACAATCCAAGGTTTCTGGCGTGCTCAAGGGATGCAACTTTGCACAGCCTATTGCGGCGCCCCCGACGACTAGGCCACCCATGTCCCCTCATCTATAGTGAACTGCAGCTTGTTTATTAAGTAGCGCCATTTCATAAGGCTGTAAAAGTGTGCTTCATCCTCCAGCCTTATATTTATGACAGATAGCCAAGCCGTCTACGTCGCCGCAATCCTTCAGAGGAACGTGTCAGAATCCGATGGTGAGGATTCGAATCCCACTTTCACCATGATTATGTGGTTTCTCAGAACCATTTATCACTTTCGATTTCCCTTCCACATCAAGTTGACACGCAGTGCTCAACACGTCGTCAAAACCAAATTAATTCATTCACACTCATTTTTAACATACCTTTTGACGATTATTCTATTTAACGTATTTCTGAGGGTAAAGAACCGGTTTTATTTTAAAACAGGAATGATGAGCATGGTATGGTACGGTACGGTACGGTACGGTACGGTACGGTATGGTATGGTATGGTATGGTATGGTATGGTATGGTATGGTATTTGGGTTCGGGGCGACTTGGACCATTAAAGGGCTATTTGCGCCCAACTCATCAAACGTTTTAAACAAGAGCAAACGGATAATGGAAAGGAGATTATGAACTGATCTGCTTCATGATCTAATTCATATATTAAAACTGTAAATAATCAATATTTCATTACTGAAAAGTAAAAACTCATTCCATATGAAACAGATCAGACAAAAAATCATACACAATGTATGTGTATTTAATGTCGACAAAATATCAAATTTTCCTGATGCAGTCACGAAGTCTAATATTGCCTGCTGACTTGACCAGAAAATATGTTGGGGCCCAAAAGTGTAAAAGAGAAAATGAGTCGTCTCTCTCAAGTACTGTACTTCTTAAATTTAATCTGATATGAATGTGGCCTGGGCATTCAATAAAGTAATGCTTCACTGTCTCGGGAGTATTTTCGTCAGTGTGTAGTACATACAAGGGAGACCTCTTCATGCATGACACTGCGGTAAGCATTTAACCCACGGTGTCCAGGACGAAGTCGACGAACTGTCCTGTTTGTTTTTACAGAAGGACAAATTGAATACAGATGTCGGCCAGTTGCCCCAGCATCCCACAACTGTTGCCAGCTTGTGTTTAAATAAAGTCGAAATCTGTTTGTTGGTGTATGAATTATGATATTGTTAACTCAGAGTATTGGACGCCAGATTTCGCAAGTTGGTCTGCTGTCTCTTGTCCATGCAGTCCAACGGGAGCTGGAATCCACACAATATCACACGTAATATAGTTTGAGTTCAACAATGTATTCAACTTTAATATTTCATAAACAATGTCATTTCGTGAACCATTGATACCACAGGTTCAACTACTTTTACAGCCGCCATGTCAGTAAATATAACCGCCTCTGGATCATTTTCATCAACCCACCTTAGAGCTTCAAGGATGGCTATAAGTCCAGCAGCAAATACTGAGAGAAGGTCATTTAGCCTGAGCACACATGACATGAAATAATCAGAAATCCAATATGTCCGAGCAGTACGTACCATGGCCGAATCCTTTGAGGTACAGTAAACAAGTGCGTGAAGTAATAATGTTCAGGTATGAAGTCCTGCGATACGGCTTTTATGACATGTGGGCTGATTCCTTTGCTTATGGCTGAATTCAGATCATAACAAAGCCCTGGTTTCAAAAGCAACCATGGATGAGTATCTGGAGGTGAAGATGAATCAACTGGGTCGCACTGTATCCCATGCTTAACTGCAAGTTTCTGAATGCTAAATCTGAAAGGGACCTTGGCATGTGACCAATCGCAAATCACATACTCAACACAGTCATTAACAACACTATCAGCGAACTATAGTTGGTTTTAGATTTGATTGGGAGAAAATGTTTGAGAGACTTAAGTTCACGACGGTGGCCAAGTGGCACGTCTGCGCATTCAACCCGAAACTGGGGTAGTTGAGTATGCACCAGTGCAAATTTGCAAAGCCTTGACTGAATGCGGTCAAGTTTAGAAAAATAACATTTTGAGGCCGACAATGCCTGGCAGCCATAGTCAATACTTTATACTATTAGTGCTTTACATAGCAATAACATTTAGGATTTATCAGCCCCCTATTTGGTTTTGGCAATGCACTTCACCAGATTTATAAATCTTGTTACATTTGTTCACAACATGAGATATGTGAGAACCCCACGTTAGCCTCGGATCGATATAAACACCAAGAAATTTACACTTACGAACAATTTCTATTTTCTGGACACCAAGACTTAACTCTATATTTGAAGGATGTTTACGTCTGGCCACCATCATTGGAACAGATTTGGACTGAGAAACCTTGAAACCCCACCTAGAACACCACACAGCATATCTGAATTGATTCAGTGACAAATTTTAAATTTCCAAAGCGTCTCCAAAATGATCCATCATCAGCAGACTGTGCTGCTTCTATATTCAGTGGAAAGTCTGTGAAAAAATGCCTTATTTGTTATAGGTTTGAGTGAGTGAGTGAGTGAGTTGGGTTTAACGACGCTTTTAACAGTATTACAGTTATATCACGGCGTGTCAGCTTAATGTGGGAGGAAAGCCCGAAGTGATGAAGGTCTCAGACGTTTACCACTTCGGTGAAACCAACGAGCACGGGTATGGTGCTGACAAACCTAGAAACATTATCGGGGCGAACTATAGGTTTGAGAAAATTACATGAGGGCATAGGGCACTGGGATGAATAATCGTTAAAAAGATGTAAACAAAGATTTAAAAGAAACCTTATCTTCATATTTATATATATTTTTTAAAACATTACTAACTGTAAATTATTACACAAAACGTGTTTATGTTGCTCGGCAACAATCATAAAAGGGAGCCACCTCCTGTCATACACTGGTTTACCTGCCCTAGAGCGCTAGCGCTCCTCGCCTGCTGCCGCTAGGAGGCGAAGGGCAGGGTACCACTCTAGCTCGATCCGACTTATTTTCCCCAATACAGCATTAAAACGTTGACCCATTTCAGTGAAGAGGATCTGTCTTTCGAGAGGGCCGGAGACAGGCCTATCGCATATCACTATGCGGGAAACTTTGACCCATTTCCGTGTAGCGAGGTCTGTCTGTCGAGAGGCTCGGGAACATGTCTATAACATATCGCTATGCGGGAAACGTTGACCCAGTTTCCATGTAGCGAGATATTAGCACTTTTGGAACTTTTGAATAACTGACGTATCTGACTGCAGGAGTAAAACATATTACCATTAGGGAGGTAACTCATACAGAAGTACATGTGTGGTTCATGGTTAAACATAACAAACGCACTCACAAACATTGTGGGTTTCAATTTCAAAACAATATCTACATGTCTGTATGGGCAGATCTACTTCTATTGTAGCTATTACTTTGAAAAGATTAATTATGAAAAATATTATTGACTTTGCTTCTGTAGATATATCAATGTCAACAGTAGCATGTATACATGTATTTCTGTGATTGTGCCAACTTAACAGCCCAGGTTCCTTGAAAACAGTAATAAATGTCTAGGAAAGACATTGTTTTGAAAACATATAATCAGTTTATTATTACATAAATATTTAAACAGAAATGTACCATATTCTAATTCCTGATTCTGAAGGTACCACGTGCAAATTACAACTTGTTTTATCTTCTGGTTTACACGTGTGCGCTTTATTACAGTATAGTTACTTGCATCAATAGGTAGCTAAGCTACAAAATGTCTAAGCTTCGAGTTGATCCTCTGGATCAAAGTTATCTTGTCATAATATTGAAAAGTACAGGTCTTATTAAACTACCTTGTGGGTTACCATTTTAAATATAATGAATAATGGTTCAATGCGAACTTGAATAGACCTTTCAGAAAGAAACGAGTGAATTCATCTGAACATGTTGCCTTTTATCTCCAGCTTCTGTAATTGGAAAAGAAGTCCTTGTCTCCAGATTATATCATTTGCTTTCTCAATATTAAGGAAGACACACTTAATTACATATATCATTTTGTGCTCCTGTCCGAAGCCGTACATGATGATCTGTACATGAAGGTCTCTTTCTAAAGCCTGGCTGCATTCTTGACAGAAGCCTAATCTTCTCAAGAAAATGATGAAATCAATTTGTGACAAATCTTGATTTTGCATAGATTGGAAGTTAGGTAAATTGGTCTGTATGAAGCAGGCATTGTTGGATCCTTCCCTGGTTTGGTTACTTGGACAATGATGGCATGTGTCCAGGTTTTAGGAATAAACCAAGAACTCCAACAAGTATTAAGCAGCTCTTGGATAATTAAAAGAGCAGAATCAGGCATGTGCTTAAACACCTCATAACATAAATTATCTGCCCCAGGAGAGGAATTGTTTGTTTTCGATGTGGTACCTTTAAGTTCATCGTATGAGTAAATCGATTTATACTTGAACTATAGTTACGCCAACTGCAGCGTTTTGCCCCACGAACGACACGTTGAAACTCGACACGTTTCTTTCTGAACACA